TATCACTGGTCATTAGAGAAATGCAAATCAAAACCATGATGAGACACTGTCTCACGCCAGTCAGAATGGCGATTTTTAAAAAATAAAGAACAGATGCTGGCGAGGGTGGAGAAGTAGGAACGCTTTTACACTGTTGGTGGGAATGTAAATTGGTTCAACCATTGTGGAAGACAATGTCGATTCCTCAAGGATCTAGAACGAGAAATGCCATTTGACCCAGCAATACCATTATTGGTATATACCCAAAAGAATACAAATCATTCTATTATAAAGATACGTGCACATGTGTGTTCACTGCAGCACTATTCACAATAGCAAAGACATGGAATCAACCCAAACACCCATCCATGATACACTGGATAAAGAAAATATGGCACATATATACCACGAAATAGTATGCAGCCATAAAAGGGAATGAGTTCATGTCCTTTGCAGGGACATGGATGAAGCTGGAAACCATCATCCTCAGCAAACTAACACAGGAACAGAAAACCAAACACTGCATGTTCTCACTCGTAAGTGGGAGCTGAACAGTGAGAACACATGGACACGGGGATGTCACATGATGGGACCTGTTGGAGGGTGGGGGGCAAGGGGAGGGAGAGCATTAGGACAAACACCTAATGCATGCAGGGCTTAAAACCTACATGGCAGGTTGACAGGTACAGCAAACCACCATGGCACAATGTGGTAAACGTATGTAACACACCTGCATGTTCAGCACATGTATCCCAGAACTTAAAAGTAAAATTTTTAAAAAACTACTCACCTCAGCCCCCTCCAGCCAACTGGACTCCCCACGCTTGGGGAAAAAGGCTGCATTTGGAGCCCGAGGTGCCTGTCACCTGCCCACCCCAGGCAAGGGTCGTTCACACTCAGGGGCTTTGGACATCCCCGGTGCGGCCACCTCAGTCCATGGGAGCTAAAGGTCCTGGCCTTGGCCCCTCAGATATGGCACCGTAGGGTCTCGTGCTTTGCAAGTTTCTAACAAATGTTGGTTTTACAGGTATTTAAAGACAGAAGAGAGACCAGAATCCATCCCCTTCACACCCGTGCAGGCCACCCTCCAGCTGCCTCCTGTTCCCAGGGCAGTAGCCACCACCTCACAGCCCGGTCTGTGGTGCCGTTGTGGACAGCTGTGGCACCTGTCCCCATGCCCACCATCGGCTGGGTTCTCATCCCAGGCCACACAGTCACTGCATGGCAGCGCAGGCTGTCCACGTGGCAGAGCCCGAGACCCGCAAGCCCCCCACAGCCAAGGGCCCCACACTCACCAGCTTCACGCAGATGACGAAGGGTGGCCGGGCGGCTCGGAAGTGCAGGATGGGGATTCGGGGCTTGGGTCTTTCCTGAGAATGACAGTGGCCATCAGTCCTGCCCGAGCTCGGCTCTTCCCAGGAGAGACGCCCTCAGGTGCACGCAGCCACTGAGTTGCCTCACACAGGAGCCAGGGCTTGGGCGGCTGCCATTCAGGGCAGGACCCCAACCCCCACCACCCCTGCTTGACACCTGACTGCAGAACGGACCAGGGTGGGCTACCCCAAGGCCCAGACCCACGAGGGACAGCAGGGTTCTCCCCCAGGGGATGGGGGCTGGGCTCTCTGGAGGCCCCGAGGAGCTGGCACAGCCCAGGTGGACTCTGCCAAGGGGGAAGGCTCTGGACAGCTGTCCCTCAGCCCTGGAGCAGGTGGGTGACCCCAAGGGTGATGCCGTGTGGCCCTGCACACCTGAGAGTCCTCGTGGCAATAGAAGCCTTTCCTGATCTTGTTCTCGTCCACGTCACAGAAGGCCACCACCTGGGGACAGGCACAGAAGGGCAGCTCTGGACAGGCCGAGGCTGGGGCCTGTGCTGTGGGGCAGCATGGGGGCGGGGCAGGCAGTGTTGGAGGGTGGCAGGGTGCCCACCTTGCGCTGGCTGGCGGCGGTCAAGCTGCGGTACAGCCGGCGCCCCTGCTTGCCGGCGTTCCAGATGGTGAAGGCTGCCCAGCGGGGAAGGGCCTGCTCTTCCAGGAAACGGACGCGGTGGGTCCAGACGGTCGTCCTGCAGTGGAGAAGAGGGTGACAGGCAGGCCGGGGGCCCCAGAGATGCACACAGATGCCAACATTCAGGGACGTGGTGTGTGCTCCGCTGACGCTGCCAGTGGGGTGGACACTGGGCCCAGGGCCTGAGAGACTGGCTGTCCTAGTCAGGCCACCTGCCCCAGCTGGATGTAGCCACATGCCTAGGTGGGGACCCACCCCTTCCATCAGACCCCAACAGGTGGGGACAGACGAGAAGCTGTCACTTAAGAATCTAGAAGGTTCTGGAAGGCAGAATTTCTGTAGGACGCAGAGGACTGGACTTGACCCAAGTCAGTTTCCCAGAGAAACCTGTGTCCGTAAGGGCACATGCGACCATCCCATAAAATCACAGCATTCAGACTTAGACATGATCTTCTGCCTCAGGTCACTGCCCCGAACCCTGTCACTCCCCTGGGATCCTGGTCTCTGTTCTTTCTGCCTCTGCTGTGACAAGCAGACCCCAGGTTGCTGTCCCGGGAGCAGGCTCCTTCCTAGGACCTGCTGCTCTGCCCCATCGCTGCCTGGGCCCTTCCCGTCCCACCCTCTCTCCTCCCGCCCCAGCCTCTCCCCACATGCCCCATCGCTGTCAGCTGCCTGCCTGTGGGCACCTCTCCCTCGAGCCTGCTCCTGGGGCTGCCTGGGCCAACCCCATCTCAAAGGCCCAGGAGCTGGAGGGGCTAGAGGGGCTCGGCAATGCAGAGGCCAACGGGGCCAGAACGGCCTGGGATGTGTCCCAGACACCGTCCTCCCCAGCTGCTGTGAGGCAGCCACGCTGAATCCCTGTGCCCGGCAGACCCTGCCCTGGCCGAGTCCTGGGATGCCCTCTGCTCTCTGTCAAGGGAGCTGTGTCCGTGGGAGCCTCCTCCGGGACGGGGTCTGGGCCATGCCTCACTGGGTCTCGGACACAACAACGCTGGCTGGTGACGGGCCTCCCCTGAGCAGGGCCCTTGTGGGTTCAGCCTCGGGATCGGGGCAGGATTCGTCCATTCTACGATTCTGCTGCTGCCTCCACCTCCCAGGATAAACTCTGGACTCCTCCCCAACCCTGTGGCACCCCCTGTTTGCAGCAGAACCGCCACAGGCAATGGGATGGGGGGACATGGGGTCCCCTCTGTCAGCTCAGGGGGCTGCAGGGCTTAGGCGTGGTCAGGGATGTCCTGCCTGGAGTCCACCTTTTCCTCCCCACCCTCTGCAGCCACCTCAATAGTCCTGACCCCGCCTGGGACACAGGAAGATGCGTGTCCCAGTGACTTGAGGACACTGAAGCATGTGTGCGTGTGTGCACACCGTGTGGGGTGTACGGGGCGCG